GAACTTTTCGGAAACCTTTTAAATTTCTCCTAAACTTAAATTGAAAAATCCAACGACGTTACGACATAGAAAAAGCATTTCTTTATTTTTTGAGACCGATCCGAAATTTCTAGCTCGAAAAATGGCTGAGGTATCTTGGAAGTACAAAACCCTGTAGTCATAAAAAGAGATTTTGAGAGAAAAAGCTATGCATTAGTTGATCTACTCTGGAACTTCTGGGAAAATACTTGTAACTTTTGACGCAACGTTGTACAAGATTGTGCAATGTCTTATTCTGATCAGAAAAGTCTGCTCTACAAGTCTGCTTATGAGGTTTTTTTTCTATAAAATATCTCGATCAGAGGCAATAATTTTACCTAGTCATGGAAATATCGCGCTAAACATTAGAACTATCACGGCAAAATAAATTTATCGGTCTCTATCGAGATGAAATACTGCTCCGATAAAGAAGCTTTCCACGATAATTCTAATATTTATCGAGGTAGAATAAGGCATTCCACTAGTGCTAATATGCATCATGATGAAACTTATTATCTCGAGATCATGGCAAATATATTTTAGTTCTATAAAGCTAGATAAATTTATTTAAGGCAATAAAGATAGTATTTATCGCAATATTTTCTGTATCCCGATGCATGGCAAATAAATTATTTTCTGATATTTTTTAAGCGGTAAGGTGATACAATTCATCGATAAAAGTGCCAGGGGTTGTGACGGAGCACCGATTTTATACTGTTTTAACGCGTAAACAGATTGTGTCCGGTTGTACGGCATTAAATGATTCAAATAGCGCGTTTTAGCGGGATATCTTATTTCTTACGTTGGAGTAAGTTAATTCTTCGTAAGTAACGCGGTATTAACGTACATTATACAGTGCAAGAAGATAAAAAGTCGTAGAAAAAGGAAGAGAAATTACGAAAACCTTTTGCGCGAAATTAAAGAGATATTGCATATTAACGAGATAAGAAGAGTAGCGAGGTCAGCGGGCGATCCTGATGGCATTCCCGTTTCATTTTTGTTGAAATCTGAACGCCAGCACAATTTTGTCTCGTATAACGAGAAAATGCTGATCTTGGCAAAGTAAAATCGCGATCTTATAATCGTAATAGCCAAATCAGTAATGAGATTCCGTTCCAGTTTGTGTTTCAGAAGTGTGACAGGATCACGGTAATATTACAGCAAGATTTTCCCTTTGCAGAGGAAAATTTTTCAAACTAATCATTCTTTGTCTTCCGCAGATCTGGTTTAGGCTGTTTCATGAAATAGTAAGAAAGAGAGAATATAAATTCCCATCAAATAAATCGTTGCACGAAGCTAGGATTAAATACACTAACTTCATATTTTCCTTTTCCTCTGTAACCATGTAATGTTTTTTTTATTTCGTCTATCCGTCGAAAGAAGAAAAACAGATAGATAATGTGGATATATTATCGTCTACTGTGTTTATCCTTCGTCCTCTTTTAACATACGATAGACCTCAATAAACGTGAAGAAAGAACAGTAGTAACAATTAAAACATCTATTTTCATGACGATCAAAAATATAGACACGCAAATTTCTATTTAGGCTGTTGCAGCCCAGAAAATAAATGACAAATTGGGGTGTTGTACAAAAAATATAAGATCAAAAACTTTAGTTAAACTTAAGCTAAAACTAGATAATCTATCTTATAAAGATATTTTTATCGGTATATAAAGCGTTCTTATTCCGTTGACTTAGGCAAATCCACAGGTATCTGTTAACTTTCAGTAACTTTTCTTCGCTCAAGTTAGATCCAAGTTAGTCATCTAACTTCCTTAACTCAGACATCTAACCTTCTCTTTTCGTTTTTTCATGAAACACATTCTGTTTAAGAGTCGCTGCACGATAGAGATGACTTAAGTTACTCAGTCTATGTCTGAACTTTTTGTTCATATTTGCATAGTAGGTAGCAACGACACACTTACGAAGATTGCTAAAAGTTTTTCGTTGGAACTTATTTTCCTGAAAAGTTATGGAATATTTCGTAAAAACCTTAAAAATAGGCTGAAACGATAACTATATGAAAGTGAAATTTCTTTTGTTTATATCTTGGTCTGCGAAGTAGATAAAGAGTCCAGATTTGGAGCATAAGTAGTCGAGGTTCAGTACTATGTATAGCCAAGAGTATATGCAAAAACAACTGTCGCACATGTGGGGGCATATACGCACAACAACAAGACTTTTTATGCATAATTGCAGTATAAAAATGACCCAGTTGAAGATCGATTTTCTCGCCTGGTACCTCTTGAAATTTTGGCGCTCATATGCCAATGATGAGTACTCATGCCAGCTTGTCAAACTATGCTTTCAGATTTATGGCGTATTCAGCTTCAGTCTGGTTTATTACAATAGATTTTTTTTTGAACCGTTGTAATAAACCAGACTCAAGTTGAATACGTCACAAATCTGAAAGCATAGTTTGACAAGCAATCAACATCGTCCTTATTGCCAACACAACCTACACCCTCTGATACAGCAATTCAAAATAATATTTCTTCACTACCACCAACACCATCGTTCGTATCGCCACGACAACAAGCTTCTTCATTAACAACATGTCAGGACTTGATAGCCGATGTTACGTCGCGTTTGACAACTCTACCTCTCTCTACACAAAAACAAACATGGGCTTGTTTTTCGGCTATTTCGAATGCATTGGTTTCCAGTTCTGGTATTGACATTGGAACATTACAAACAGTAATGTCATTATCACCATTACCTTCACGTACACAGACAGCATCACCATCGGTTTCAGGTAAACGGGTCGAATTTGCTGGTGCAACAAAAATGTCTTCTACTTCCGATGCAACAGCTGTATCCTCTACCTCAACAACATTTCTACCTGGCATACGTTCTTATTTTAGACCAAAACAACTCTCTTCTCGACCAACACGCACTACTAACACTGCACACCACACAGAACATCATCAATCACCCTTTCTACCAAAAATGCGAATAAACGACCGTTGAGTATTGTGGATGTCGATGATTTTGACGACGATGAAATTGATGAGAACTTGACACCAAAATTGAAAAAACGTCAACCACCACCAACAGCTCGTGTCAGTTCACTGTTGGGTCGATTAGAAGATGTATTAACTCCATTCGAAAAGTACACAAAGCAAAATATTATTCCGTACATAAGTACTGACGACGGCGAAGATTAGAACTAGAGGAAGTTAGATCCAAGTTAGTCATCTAACTTTCTTAACTCAGACATCTAAACTTCTCTTTTACGCATAATAACAAGACTTTTAATGCATAATTGCAGTATAAAAATGGCCCAGTTGAAGACTGATTTTCTCGCCTGATACCTCTTGAAATTTTGGCGCTCATATGCCAATGAAGAGTACTCATACCAGCTTGTCGAACTATGCTTTCGGATTTATGGCATATTCAACTTTAGTCTGGTTTATTAAAATGGATTTTTTTTTGAACCGTTGTAATAAACCAGACTGAAGTTGAATACGCCATAAATCCGTCCAAAATAAATCCCGTCCTAAATTGGTCCAAAATAAGAACATATGCCAGGTGGAAATGTTGTTGAGGTAGAGGATACAGCTGTTGCATCGGAAGTAGAAGACATTTTTGTTGCACCAGCAAATTCGACCCGTTTACCTGAAACCGAT